ATCCTGGATTACAGATTACTGAATTCTTCCAAGATTACTGGATTATCCAAGATTATCTTCTGGATTCTGGATTACCAAGGAGGTTCTACGAGATTACAAGCCCGTTGCGAACCCCTTGGGGTATACACTGCAAAAACAAAGGTGGGTATTACTCACCACATAAAGCGGACTCAGAGGTAGTCATATAAACCCCCTAGGAGCTAAGACAATTTTCAATGAAAATAATGATATTCATTCATAATAAATAAAATTTTCCCACCCACGATGTAAATTACTGACGGCAAGAAGGCCTCAAGATCAAATGAAAATCAAAGGCGGTGACACCGCCTGGCCATTTTTGTGAGCGCTACAAGGTACTACAGGCATACAAGCAGCATTTATGGAAAGTATTGAGGCCAGACTACATCATATAGACCAGGTAACTCTTGCTGCAGCATAGTTTTCTTGCAATGCTCCATTTCAGCATCTTAAGCTTTGATCTGCCTTTGATGTGGAGAGCTTCTTGCCGTCAGTAATTTTAATCGTGGGTGGCTACCGTAAATCATTCATTCAAAATAGTCTTAGCGCCTAGGGGGTCTATAGCTCATTACCATTGGTGGATTAAAGCCACTGACTTTGGTGGGATATTACCACTTTAAAATGTTACTTATTCAGCTTTATTTATGCAAACATAACAAAATCATAAACAATAATAACATCACAATAGCAAGAATAAAAGGTTTACAGTCTGTGCTCTTTCTTTCATTCAATGACATTCTTGAACACCTTACCTACAGCAAGGAAACAATTATTAGGAAAGGAGATGGTAAGAGATTGTACTGTCTCATTGGAATTGTAAAAGCTAAAAAGCGAAGTCTTTTCTTGTATTGATTCAGCCAAGGCACAAATCAATATAAAATGAACATTGCCATATTACGAACAGTGGCCTACGTAAATGGGGATGGAAGAATAAAGGATAATCTAAAAACAACAATATGCATACCATGTCATGATTCACAAGTCTTCCATACAAAGAGGCACAGCTGAGAGAGCAAGAGAGACAAAGAGAAAGGGGAGGGAGAGAGAGAGAGAGACAAAGAGAGAGGGGAGTAAGTGAGAGAGTGAGAAACAAGGGACGGGGAGTTGAAAAAAGGAGCTAGATATAATATAAGGCAAGTAATAAAACGCTTACGATGTCAACAAAATATTCAATAAGGAAGCCAATTCATTTAAACACAACCTATAAAGGTTGAGAAAAGAGTAGGGAGATAAAGTTTTAAAGCAATAATAAAACACTTACCATGTGAAAATTTAAATGACAAAGTCCTGTATAATACTCGGACACAATTCACTTATAAAAAGTAAAAACT